ACTTCAAATCCAGTTCTGTTGCAACTTTGAACAATTGCTAAGTGACCAATTGTAAATCAAGGACTATCTATATCAGGGGTCCCCAACCCCTAGTCCGTGGACCAGTACTGGGCTGCGGCATGCCAGCAACCGGTCCACACAAACAAGGAAAGCCCCATCTGCAGGAGGCAGGCAGCATACAAAACCAAGCCCCCTCCGGTCTGCAGAAAAACCTCTCTCCACACAACCAATCCCTGGTGCCCAAAAGATTGGGGGCCTCTGAGCTATATCATAAACTACAGACTGGTAGTGAGCTGTCTTTCAGTTCCATTAAGGAAGTAGAAATTTTGAAATGCTACCAAAAAAAAGAAATTTGTGGGTGCCTCTGGATTTTTGCTATGCGCAATATGACTAATATAGCTACTTTCTGAAAATGATACATCATTAATCCATTCTCATCAATTATGCCTTGCAGCTAGAGCAACTAGCAAACCCCAAGACCTGGATTAATGCAGCTACTCAAATCTTCTTCTCTCTCGGCCTGGGCTTTGGTAGTTTGATAGCGTTTGCCAGCTACAATGAGCCAAACAACAATTGTGAGCGACATGCCATCATTGTTTCCTTAATAAATAGTGGCACCTCAATATTTGCCAGCATTGTCACATTCTCCATTTATGGTTTTAAAGCAACTTTCAACTATGAAAGCTGCATGAACAAGTAAGCTTGGTTTTTAATCCAGATTTGTTTTTCTCTTTTAAATCTGCTCAATCAACATACACATTTAAAATTGATTTACTGAAGTTAGGATTTTTTTCAATAAATAATTCCTGATTCATACTCCAAGAAAAGTTTCTTTTATGATATATAAGGTATCTGGTTTTAGAAAGGTTTCTGAAATAAGATGACAACTAAGTATGAAATCTCATTAAAAATGGATCTTAATACTTGTAACCACAGCTAATGTGCTGCTAACAACTGTCTAAAATTTAATAATATTTTTTGTTATGATAAATAAACAGTAATTCTGTCTTCCTTGAATTGCTTTCCCCTTCTTACTTTTTGAAAACTCTAAAATGTTGAAAAGTGTTCAGAATCCTGTTATTTGTTTTATTATATATTTTTTAAATTGCCTTTCAGAGTGATCTTGCTGTTGACTAATTTTTTTGATCTGAAAGAAGGTTTATTGACAACAGAAAACCTTGAGAATATGAAACAGTACCTAGAATCTTCTTATCCTGGAAAATATGCAGAAGTATTGCCACAGATCAAGAACTGCACTTTGGAAACTGAACTAGACACTGTGAGTTCCTCCCTCTCTCATTCCTTCCTTCCTTCCTTCCTTCCTTCCTTCCTTCCTTCCTTCCTTCCTTCCTTCCTTCCTTCCTTCCTTCCTTCCTTCCTTCCTCCCTCCCTCCCTCCCTCCCTCCCTCCCTTCCTTCCTTCCTTCCTCTCTTTTTTCCAGAAATAATATGATGACACCCACTTGCTGATGTCAAGAAATTTGGTCAGTGCCTTGAATATGCAATGGCTGATCTATTGAGAATGGGAGACCTTGTTTAAATCCTCATTTAACCAGGTCTAAGATTTATAAGCTTGTACATCTATATAAACCAACCTGACCTGTTATACATCTAGCTATAATAACAGGTTAATCAACAACTACGTTAAACTTTAAAAGCCCTTTATTAACAATTTTTATTGTAATAAGCTCATAGAAAGTTTACAACAGTTTCTTATAACTTCAATCCTTATCTCTAATCTGGCCAAGATCCTCGTTTGACTTTTGATAATAAAACCATTCTTTAGATTTTTAATTGGGATATTTCCCAACAATTGCATCCCATTTCACAGAGCCAGGAGTTTCTGTTATAAGTATCTCTGCAACATCCACTGTTCAAAAAGTCTGTCTGAAAAGGTAGGATTCATCCTAAAAAACCCAATCACTCATAAATTCCATTATTTCTGAATTTCTTGTATTCGTGTCCTTGTCAAACTTTTCTGCCAGATCTGAATTTTCAGACCAGGTTTGTCCTTCTTCATGTCTTGCAGCAACAAATCATATTCCAATTCATCAAATTGCGAAGTCCAACTGTTATTTTCTGCTTTTTGGTGTTATCCTGAGTTTGATTCTAAACCACTGTTAACCCATCTTTTTTTTATTTAGAAAAAAAGCCAGTAAAATAGAAAGCATTCTTTTTTAAAATGTTCCCAGAAAAGCTTTATCTTCTTTTGTAGATATTTTGAAAAACACACAATTCCTTTCAGGGATAAGAGAAGCAGATATATCATTAGAAAATGTCTATAGAGAGAGAAGTTAAGATATTTTTCCCAGGGTAAAAAGTAATCAAAAGAATTTTCCCATTTTTCTTTCCTTTAAAAAAAATATTGGTAAGAATAAAATTCTTATAATATAATCCAATGTAAGTGTAAGTCCTACACTTACTACCAGAAAGTGAATTATCCCCGCCAGCTTCCCTACGGAAAATGAAAGTGTTTTGTAATTCAATTGCAAACAATGAGAGAACAAAGAAAAAAGTTGTAAAAATCCGGCAAGGGTTGTAAGATAGGTCAGCGGTCAACTAGTCCAACCTTTCTGGCTTTGTGGATTGGCAAGGAGAAGACAAGAATGGTTCCACACAAGTGGCTGGTAAACGTGTGCATGCAGCTCCATTTGTGCAAGCAGCATGGACGCACGCCTACCACTCATACAAATGGAGCTTGCGTGCATGGATTTGCCTGCTGCTCACACAAATGTGGATGTGCATGTGCGTGTGAGCCTGCCACTTCCATGGCCCAGTTGCAAATAGCTTACAATCTGTTACTGGGCTGTGGCTCAGGAGTTGGGAATCCCTGCACTAGTTTATTAAAAAGTATAGATAGAAAAGTAAAGAAATTTTAAAAGTGCAATTAAAACCAAGGCATGCTTAAAAAAATTATCAGCTGAATGGTAAAGATGGTAAAAGACTTGACCTTCTGATTGCTCCTTACTGAGAATTGCAATCTTCAAGATCCCTCTCCTTTGAAGATGCACAAAAGTCCAAAGATTTTCTTTGTCCTTCCTTCTTGTTTCTGTTCGATGCTAGGGAGCAAAGTTGATAAATAGCCAGCTTTGGTGACAAAAATCAGCAATTTGTCAGTGGGAGAGAAAAAAATTGCCTGCTGCTCAGCACGCCATCTTGGGGGAAATCAGTAATTACCTCTTAGTCTTACTTCAGATTATTGTCAGTTCTCCATTTTTATCTTCATAGCAATGCATATTCCTGTTTGGGTATTGAAACTTGTTGAATCTTAACATTTTTTCAAGCAGTTAAGTTCTTCTTCAATTTACATTTCCATGTAAACAAAGCTTCACCAACTTGATTAATTAATACTAATAATTAATATTATTAATAAATAATAAATAAAGTGGACCTAGAACAACAATCCTTTGAAGTGGGTTGATTGTAATTATAACTACCTACATTGTGGTGAATGAATGAATGAATGAATGATAAACCTTGAAAGTCAGGGTAAAATTTTGTGTTTGTGTATGCGTGTGTGTTTGTGTTCAAAACTATATAGTAGTTTTCCCACCTGGTAATCTGGATCAAATTGCAAAAAGAGGCTTATAATTGATGCTGCAATGGCAACAGTATTAAGACTTTTTCCTAATGCTATGTCTCAGTTTTACAATCGGTGTTGTTTTCTTTATATGTTACAATGCTCACAAAGGCAAAACATAACTTTTGAAAAACATTATAATAGTACTAGATATGATTTGGCAAAAAATTAGTAACTATAAAAGATTAACAGAAATCAGGTGTTGCAAAATGTGCAAGGCAACTTTTCACAGGTTATTGTGCACTTATCCAGAATGAATGTCACTTCCACTATCCATACCATTGTTCAATTTCATCATCCCTTCTACAATCCCATACTATTGTTTTGTTTCAACATCTAGTTCTAGATCATAATTAATACCAATTTTGACTGAATGGTATCATCTCAAGCTCTGAAGCACTTATGGAAATCATTTAGATTGGATGAAATACTCATAGTGAGTGTAGGACTATTATTGGATTCTAGCATGCCACCTAAATTGATGTGTGATTTGTTCTGAACTACAAAAACACAGATGATGAATAGTTGGCAACTAAGTTAAGAGTTTTTTGAGTAAATGTTGCCATCTAATTGTCATGTGGATTTTGCAGGCCATATATGGCCAGGCAGATGAAACATAAATGAACAGAGATTAATTTCAATATTCTTTACTGGGTACACATGGTGAAATATGGCTTGCTTGTTTGGAAATTAGGGTTTTTAGAAATAGCTCTTAAGATTTGCTGAATGATTGTTTAGCAAATTAAGTGAACCCAACAAATTGAAATTATTCTGGCTAATCAAATAACCCAGTAAATTTTATATATATATATATGTATGTATGTATGTATGTATGTATGTATGTATGCATGCATGTATGTACATATGTATGTATGTACATGTACATGTATATATGTGTGTGTGTGTGTAATTCTTGTTTAGTAATTCACTAATTTAGCAATCATTCATGGTTACAGTGATAATGATTTTTTTTTTTTGCAATCAATCTTCACATTTACAACAGTTGCAGATCTGTAAAGCAAAGGAAATCTGAAACAGGAATGTAAGCAATCACAGTTTCACATTGCAAATGCTTCGCTTAATAACTGTGCCAATCCAAATTATGATGGCTAACTGAGGACTACCTGTATCTCTTCACTTTATATATTGCTTTTCTTCGTAGAGGTATTGGAAGAGATACAGGACCATTTCCTCCAATGGCTTCGGATATTACATAAAAACAGCCAATAAATGGCTCTCACTGGCTTCCAGTTCATTCTTAGGCTCACTTGAAAGTGCTACTCCTTATCTATAACTTTTTAAATGGTTGAGATCTGATAGCAGAAAGATCTATCAAACAGCAATAAACAAGTGAATAGGACCCCACAAAGAAATAATGTCAAAACAACTTTCTTCATATTTTTTCCAAGCATATAAATTAAAAATATTCAGCATTTTATTTTAGTTCAGCCACATTCTAAAATATTTACATCATAGTCAAATACAGCAGCCATCTGACCTAACTGCCTTGCAATTTTTTTATCCTCTAAGTGAAACCATCGTTGTAATAATAGACTTAGTTCAACTCATTTTTTTTTCTCAAGTTTTAAACAATAATTTACAATTGTTAAGGCAATGGTTAGGCCCTGGGAAAAAAATGATTTTTCCTTTAACCAATGGTTCTTGTATACAAGACACTGAATTTGTTCTTCTTAATAATTTTGCTCTTTTTTCATCAGGCTGTGCAAGGGACTGGGCTAGCATTCATAGTATATTCTGAAGCAATTAAAAATATGGAGATCTCACAATTGTATTCAGTGCTATATTTTGTCATGCTGCTGATGCTTGGAATAGGCAGCATGCTGGGAAACACTGCAGCCATTCTTACTCCTCTGACTGACATCAAGTTCCTCTCTTCTCATGTACCCAGGGAGATTATCTCAGGTAAATTTGATAGCTACAATGATATTGAATAATTTCAAGGCCTGGTAAGACTAGCAGTACAATTAGAAGATATCATGATATGCCTGTAATTGCAATACAGGTAGTTCTCGAATTACGACAGTTCATTTAGCAATGGTTCAAAGTTATGACACAACCCTGCCAAAAGTACTTATGATACAGTCCCGAAGTTATAAATGTTGCAGCATCGCAGCAGTCAGTCACCCTTATGACCAACCACAGAGACACTGCAACCTCCCCTCTGCCTATTCCCCCTCCCTGACAGGAACCTAACAGACACTGGCCCTGCTATATTAGCCCACCGGCTCCTCTCCATCCTGTTACCGATCGCTCATTTACCTTTCGAAGATCCTGAGTTCCAGAACAGGCTGACTGCTCCTTCTCTCTCCCCAAGGGAGCTGTTTCCTCTCCAGCCTCTCTGCTGCGGGGTTTGTGTGGCAGCCTGGTTTCTTTGCCTGCTACCTGAGTTCCAAAAATGGAGTGGAGAGAGTGGAGGAAGAGCAGGAGGGGCATGGTCTGCTCAGCTTGGCTGTCTGCACAGGACACCTGATCCACTTTTGGAGTGCCACACAGCCTTGGTGAGCCAGAAGGAGTGCGAGATCGATCCCCGAACCATCCCTTTGCAAAAGTTTTGGCCATGGAGAACAGAAATCTTTGGGGGCATGAGATTGCATTCCTTCAGGCCTCTATTCTCCACGCTGAAAGCTTTTGCAAAGGGACAGAAGGCTTTGAGCAGCATTAGATCGCTCCTCCCAAACTTCCATCCCTTTGCAAAAGTTTTCGGCGTGAGAACAGAGGATTTGGGGACGCGAAATCGCATTCCTTCAGACTTATAGAGGCCGCCTGGTACTCCAAAAGCAGAATGGGTGTCCTGTGCAGGCAGTCTCGGTGAGTTAACGAAGCTGAGCAGGGCGCACTTGTCCTGTTGTCTTTGCTTTCTGCTTTTGGAATGCCAGGAGCAAACAAAGAAACTGCAGCAAAGAGGCTGGAGAGGAAACAGCTTGCTTGATCATCACGATCTTCGAAAAGTGAATCCCCACAGGCCCAGTGCCTGTGGGGACCCAGTGGGGCAGGATGGGGGGGGGAAGCATGATATATCTCAGTGGATTGGAGGCCTTGGGTGGTTGGAAGCAGAGCCCCCCCATGGTCTTCCTCACCCTGAGATACCTCACGTGTACTTAACGGCCTATGCATTTGACTAGTGAATACATTGGGTAAAACAGGGATCACTTTCATTTAATGTGATCTAATTAATGACTCTTCGGGTTACGAATGTAATTGGCAGGCTCTATTACATTCATAACTTGAGGATTACCTGTATGGCTTTGATCATAATCATGCATAATCCTTCTTATGGTTATATGTGAATGCCAACTGCAGGCAGTTCCTCTTCTAATTAGCAAAATATCCATGACTAGAAATGTGAACATCCTTATTTCTAAAAAGGAGCCAATTTGGTGTAGTGATTAAGGTCCTGAGCTAGAAACTGTGAAACCATCTATTCTAGGCCTGCCTTAGGCATAAAGCCAGCTGAGTGACCTTGGGCCAGTCCTTCTCTTAATCCTAAGAAGAACACTAATGGCAAACCACTCCCCAAAAAGCTTGCCAAGAACATTGCAGAGACTTGTTCAGTCACCAGGAGTTAAAGCTGATTTAAAGGTACCTCCCCACTCCAATTGTACCTATAATCTTGTGAGACAATGCAAATCAGACAATGTTGATATATCAGTTCAATCCAATTTGTTTTCTATTTTTTTAAAGACTGAGATTCAACACTATAGATTATTTTGCTATAAGCTAGTTTTCTCTCTGTAAATTGTATGACTATACCAATTCTAGCCATCATCGGTAAGTTGAAAAAACTGCAATATATCTTGTCTGATTTGAAATTAAAGCAACTATTATTTCTAGCAGGACTACATATTCAGTAAAAAGAATATAAAATTTGTTCTGATCCAAGCTTTTTTAAACATTGAGGTTGAAAGCATTTGTTATTTTTATAGGTAGCGTGTGCATCATCAACTGTGTCATTGGCCTAATATTTACTACGAGGGCTGGTAACTATTGGTTTAATATCTTCAATGATTATGCTGCTACTCTTTCCTTGCTGCTTATTGTACTGGTGGAAACTATTGCTGTTTGTTACATATATGGGTTAAAAAGGTAAGTTAGTAACAATGCTTTCTTATCACATCATTACCATGTCATTGTATAATTTATTATTTTGCACTTACATACCAATTTCTTCCAAGATATCAAGAGCTTTTTAAAGCATTTTAAGATAGCATTCTAACATAATGCTTCATAGCAACTGCTTTATAATAGGAATGATAAATGCCAATTTGGTGCTTATTTTTCTTTAATAGATTTAGTAAAGACCTTTGCGTGATGATTGGACATGAGCCAAGTTGGTATTGGAAAATTTTATGGGCTTTTATCAGTCCAATATTAATCATAAGCCTATTTGTGTTTTACATCACGGACTACATCAGGACTGGGATATCCCAGTATCAAGCCTGGGATGCAACAGAGGTATTTTACTGAATTTGTTTTTTCTGTTTGCAGCTTAAATTTAGCAGTTGGGAGAGATGGGCGATCTAAAAATATAAAAAATAAATAATTCATAAAACACATTGGTGTAAAACATCCTTTCCTAACATGGCAGTTTTTCAATATTATAGAATGCAATTTTCAAATTTGCTGGTCAATATAGCAAAAAATTATATTGGCTGGGAATTCCAGGAATTGCAACCAGTAAAATGGACCCAAGCTGGAAAAATGGTGAAAAATATCTGCCTTTGAATTTGAAATGATTCAATCTAGGCGACTACGGTAGCATCTATATAATTGCCATTCTATAATTGCATTATAATTACCATTACTGAAATTTGAAGCATGAAAAATTATACTATGAAAAGAATGCAAATGAAAAAATGCAATCATTTAATAATAGAAATGTTTTACCATCAACCCCAAGATTAAAATACCAACATATCTTTCCTTGGCATTATTGTAGGCAGTTTCATAATTTGGTTGTTTTTCTTGTAGGGAAAGCTGGTTACAAAAGATTATCCAAGAGGTGGCCTAGCAGTTATTGGTCTGCTTGTGGCATCAACATCATTATGCATACCATTAGGAGCATTAGTAACTTTTATAAAGCTCAGAAGAAATCACCAATAATTGGACTTTAGCAACCGATGCAGCTTTCATATCCCAGTTTGAAGATTATAGGTTTTAAGTCGCAGCAATCAAAAAAGCAAATCCCGGGTAACCAAATATTCCTGCCAAAATAGTCTTATCCATTCTCCATCAAGAAAACGGCTTTGCAGAAGATAACTGGAGATTGGTTTTAATAAAGACAAGATTATACTTGAAAATACTGGTTCTGTTCAATTACACAAAGGAAATCTGGCATATGTGAATGTGAACTCTGGTTGTAAAACATCCAAGAAGTCATATGGTACAAGAAACTGATTTTTCTATATGGATAGTTTGATTATTTTCATAGTAATTTGTAAGTTATATGAACAAAGCATTGTCATTCTTTACTACCTATCAGAACTGTAGCAATCTAATGAATGTCCATAATTCCCAAATGAACTACAAAAACAATGGGCAACAGGGCTGGAAAATTTTAAGGGCTACATTGGAATTATGAACTAAGAAACTAAAGTCATACAAATTTTAGTTATATACTGAACATGGCATCATGTTTAAATAATTACTGTGAAATATTTTTTAATGTTATTATCAAATCACAGAAACCTAAATCAGAAAATCCTGTGAGGAAAATTGTTACTTTTGTTTTACTTGCCTATTTCTTAGTTTTTATTGCTTTTAAGACAAAGGGATTTCGGTAAAATGTTTTTGTTTCCTTATGCCACTCTTCAAAGTAATTTCAAAATACAGATTATCCTTGCTTATTAATTACCTTGTTCAGAAACCATTTGAAATTACAATGGTAAAGAACTTTATAAGCAACTACCATATTTGCAGTCTCCACAGCATTCTCTCAGTCACAAGTGCCATTACAGTCAGCACCGATTGTATTGTAAATGACCTATTATTTTTCCTTGGTCCCCTCCCTTTGTAGAGTGGAAAGATTGGAAAGGGATTACAAGAGAGTAAGGAAGGTCACAATGGGGAATACATATTGAAAGCAACATATTGTCAACGTGGCAGCTAAGAATGCACTATGCAAACCTGGTGCATTTCCCATTATTTATTTGCTTACTCTCTTGTAAGCCATTGATTCTCCAGCAAATATAAATACAAGTGTTAATTCCCTTGTTGCCAATTATCCCAGTGTCATGGTGAGAATTTCAAAGGATAGAGAAGTGCAAAAAAGAAAAGCACTCTTAGAGCCTTAACAACAGAGCTGCTGGTCCCAAATGTGGCTGCTAAATGAGGACTATATTTAATTTCTCTATAAACTGAAATATTCACAAATCCTTCAGGTTTCAGCAGATGATATAAGAAGAAAAGATAGACTGCAAATTTCACAATTCTGGAATTCAGAATTAAATTTTTCTATTTAAAGTTAATTTCTAAGTTTTGGCTATCAATGTTAAAGATAATACATATGTAATCAGGGGTTTCATGTAATGTATGAATGTAGAATTTGAACTTAGTGACACATTTTCCATATTTGTTTATTTAAACTGACACAAAACAAAACCTGTAAAAAAAATACCAGTTGTTTGAGGCCTTTTTTTTAATAACAGATATAAAGAAGTTATCGTCTTGGACCCCCTCTTCCTCTTCCACGTCCTCTTCCACGTCCTCTTCCTCTTCCACGTCCTCTTCCTGCAACTGAACATAAAGAAATAAAACTTTATTTTTAAAAAGGCAATCATACCATAGTACTTTTTACTGTATGTTTGTATTTTGTATATATTATTTTTAAACTTATTTCAAATAACTCAAAAGTGAAAAAATATCACTATTTGCTAAATTTGTTAAATTATTCTCTTTTCTTACAATGATCTTATCAAGTCATTTATCTCTGCTTCCAAATTCGAAAATGAGTAGGTTTTGTGAAATATAAACTTGTAAGAAATAATGCTCTAAAATATGTAACTTGACTGTGTTATTCTAAATATATGGACCAGGTCTCCAATCTTCCAATTTTGCACTAGTTCTTTTTCTATCTTCTGTCTGGTGTCATCTCTGATGGTGTCCAGTCACCATGTTCTTTTGACATCCTGGTTTCCTTTTAGCACTAACACTTCCATAATTGCTTTCTTCAGTGAATTCCTCTGCATGACATGGCCAAAGCAAGGGAGATACAGTTTTGTGATTTTGCCTTCTAGTGACATGTCTGGTGATATGTACTCCAGTATTTGCTGTTAGTCCCTGTTTCTGTCCAAGGAAAATTAACTGTTTAATTTAAGTAACTTAAGAAATATGTATTTGCTATTTAAGAATTATTTAAGCAATTGTTATTGCTCCATTAAAATTACAAGACAAAGGATAGAGAATTTAAGATTGAAAGAACTTTTTTAAAATGAAAGACAGTATGTGATTCCTTTATTCAAAAATTAGTCTTACGTGATATCTAGCCAGGTACCAAACAATCTATACTTAGTTTTATAGAATCAAAGCTGATTTGAAGGGGTGTGATAATAAAAGATCATTACAGAATCACATGATTATGCAAAAATAACAGCAAATGAGTGAGAAATCTTCCAACTTTTATTTTTGAAGTGATACAAATCAATGCGAAATAAACCTTTTATTGTTAAAACTTGTTTTTAAAACCACTACAGTAAGAATTAAAGCTACAATTTAGGCATCATCACAGATGTTAAATTAAAATATTCTTAAATGAAGCAGATATTTACTGCTGAAGTCTGAAATCAAGAACTAACCTGCCTCCCTTTTTTTGGATTTGACTTTTGGTTCAACATCCACCAACAAAGTATCAAGAGGCAAACTGTCTGGCAGAATAAAATATCTGATATTATTGCCTCGAATGCTCAATGTCTCCAACTGGACTGGTTCTCTGTTCTTCAAAGTCATCTTTACAGCTTTAAGATGGGTATTCATGCTGACATCCACTCCTGAAAAATAAAATATAGAACATTTCCTAATCTTATGGAAGGCTATGTTATTCCAAGATTGCCTACCTATGGCCATACAACTAGCATAAATTATCTTATGTAAGATACGTGAGAATGCTATACATTTGATCATCACTATATAGAGCAGTGGTTCGCAAACTTTTTAATGCCGCGACCCCCCAACCGGTCGTAAGTCGAGGACTACTCAACTGGTGCAGCACCGTTTGCAGAATGGGACTTTTGGCGGGCTCAGCAGAGCAGAGGCAGCCTGGACAATTCCTATTGGCTTTTGAAAGCCACTAGAATTAGACTCTATTCAAAAGAGTCTATTCTATTGGCTTTCAAAAGCCAGTAGAATAAAAGGGAGTAGCACAGCTAAGGAAAAGGTGAAAAAATGGCGGACTGCGTTGTTTGGCGACCCCCGTGAAATGGTCGTTTGACCCCAAATGGGGTCCCGACCCACAGGCTGAGAACCACTGATATAGAGCTTGAAAAATCATGAGGATCATTAAAACACATATTTTAAAAAACACTGCACTTTCTTAGACTCTTTTGTCTCACCTATTTCCAAAATATCATTTCTGTTTTCTTTTTTAATATTCTCAATCACATTTCCTACATAGATACAGAAATTCTCTCTTCCATACACTCACTATTCATGTACTTGACCTATCCTCCAGTCATTCAAAACTTTTTTCCTATCACAATCTTTCTCTAACTAGAACTATGGTCTATAACAAGTAAGTCAACTGGCCACACTTCTTCCCTTGGCAACTATCAGGCCTTTTGTTCTACCCAATGTCCTACAATTAAAAAAAAAGCTTTTAAAAAGGAACATAGATATGCTACAACACAGTCCCCAACCTCTACTACCAGGCCTTGAGCCATTCGGAACCAGGCCATGGAAGTAAGTGCATGAGCAGCAGGCAAACACATGCACTTCATTTCACAAGCACAGGTGTGCGTGCCTGCCACTTGCACGGGACCATTCCCCGCCCCGCCCCCCCCCGGCTGGTCAGCAAAGCCAGAAAGGTTGGGAAAATCTGTGTTACAACCAAACTTTATTTTCAAGAATTGCTGACCACAGATGGTCTACATAAGATCAAAAATAAATGTTTGCTAGATATAACCAGATCTTTTACTTGGAGTTGCCTAACTGTCCAAACAAATATAAGCAGGGATAAAGGAATATCCTATGGAAGAATTTAATAGAGGGAATATTCATTACAACCCCTCATTATGACCATTTTATTCAATTCCCCAGCTGTTTGCAACAATGCCACATCATATTCTTAAGATACCAACTGTATACAGTAATTTAAGAAAAGTAAAGACTTCTAGCTGGAATATCATACAAGTATTAAAACATAAATGACAATTTCTTCTTTATTTTGACAATGAAATTTTTTGTGAAAATGTTGTCATTGATTTCTATGAAACACAAAATATACAGAAAGCAATGCTCCAAAAGAATAGCTGGAGTTTTAGAAGTTTTGGAAAAAATCATATAGTGAGTTTGGGTAAGCAGATTTTTCAGTCTAATCCAGAATGCAATTCTAATAATGCTAGATATTTCTCAGTTCTGTAATTTTGTTTCAAAGCATACTTGCATCAATAAAATGGGAACATGTACACACTCGTCATTTAAGTGAAAGATACCTGTGAATTCTGCCAAATGTTCAGAATTTTATTTAGTTACAAATCTTTTTGACTATTTCTTCATCAAAACCTCATACCTGTAATGGTTCCATGTACCTGGGTCCCATTTTTCAGTTCAATGGTGACAGTTTCATGACTAAGCTTCATAAGAAATCTGCATAATTGGAACAAACATGTTAGTTTATATGTAAATGAATTTCTTTACATAATGAGACAATGACAATAAAAGCTGAAATTCATGCAAAAGGCAAGTGTCTCCACAAGCAAATGTCAAAAACCATTTGACATCTGAATCATTCTATGGGCTGATCAATAATATTAAACAAAGGCAGGTAATTCTTTGTAGTAACAATTGGGAACCTTCTAGAGTCCAAGTAAAGTCAACCCAGAAAGATGAGGAATCATGTACAAGAAATCCTGATTCAGGCTCTTGAAGATACAACATTAAGGCCTGTTATAAATGCTACTTTAATTTGCCACTAAGTAAAGTCTGCCTCAGATGACTTCATGTTAGCATTATTAAATCAATTTATATACAGTAGTTGCCCATCTCACAAATGACTTTGGGCAGAAAACAATAGAACTAAAACAATAGATTAAAAAGTGTAACAATCAAATTAAAACAATTAAAAAAAGGAATGCCAAAATAGTGACACCATCTCACTAGTTCACTCATCCCCTAGAGTCCCAAGTCAGCTGGCACAACTACGTCTTGAGAGACTTTCAGAAGTTCAGTAGTGACCAGGACATCCTCACCATAGGGGGGAGAAAATTTCAGTGTGGACACAACTGCAGAAAAATTCTCTTACCTAGGGCCTATGAAATACAGCTCCCTAGGTAAAGGAACCCATAACATGCCCTCTCTGCTGGATCTGGTAGGATGGGAAGATGAAATTGGAGAGAGGCAATCCCTTAAATAACACAGTCTCATGCCATTAATGTTCAGAATTCTGTGTTATAAATTTTCAAATTTAGTCAAGTATCTAAGTGTTCCACTTATTTTTGAATTTTCTTATTACTTGTTTGGACATACTGAAACCAGAGATATGATTCTGATAATTCTGAAGAAAGAATCCCAAAAGTATTTCAACCTTGCATTTTTAATAATTAAATTGTGCAATATGTATGACATATCATGAATGCTCAAGTCGCTTCCATATTTATTATCAAAGCATGGTAAGACTGGATCAATTTTTTCTTCTGTTTAAATATGTTGCTTATTATTAAATGGTTATTGTTTATATTTTTACATTTTTTCAAGCTAAATATATTTATGTAAATTAGTCAGATGTTCTGTTTCCTTGATAGAAGAATCCAGCCATAAAGTTATATAATCCAATCTATAAACTAAACATGTAACTTGGTAGTAGTTTGAAATCTATCAATCCACCTTTCAAATCCTGTAAAATCTAAGCTTGATACTTCTACTAGACAAATAACTAGAACTAAAGTTAGTTATTTGTCTTCCATTTGTTTAATATTTTGTCTTCAATTCTTTCCAAAATAATTTGAAAGTAAAAAAATTAGGCCAAATGTTCATTTTATCACTGCAATTCTTCTTACTCAAAACAATATAAAATGTTTCCATCTAAGGAAATCAGCTAGTCTTTTTCAAGTCTGTTAATAAGTATTTTTAAAAAATGTTTATTACCTTTTTTAATTCTTTATTTTTTTAATTAATTTAATTAAATAAATTCTCAAATACCAAATATTTTCAACAGAAATGTTAAATACCATTTTTGTTACTGCAAATACAGTT